CGAGCTCGCCAAACTCCAATATCCTTGGTTTTATTGGGTGTTTTTCAATTTTTTCCTGTCTGTTTTTCCTCTTTAATTTTCGGTTGGGCCATCTTTCTTTTTTATCTTCTCGTTTTGTATTTATTTTTCTTTTAAATTTTGGTTCTTCCGAAATTCCATATTTATTTACGTTTTTCTCTTTTTATGAACCAGATGTTTCGGCGGAGCTTCTTTGACTTCTTTAATTTTTTCACTGCAATCTTTCCTTGGCTAACAAAACTCCAATAACCCTCAGTTTCATTGGATGTTTTTGTTTCTCTTTTTTTCTTATTCTTCTTCTCCTTGGATTCATCATCTTCACTCACGTTCTTCCCCTCCCTTTCGTTTCTCTACCAATCCCCAATTCTTTTTTCCTTCCATTTTTGGCCAAACCAGAAAACAGAGAGGGTTTTGTTTTTGTAATTTGCCAACTGGATTTTATTAATTAATAACTTACATTTAAAACTTTAAATATGATTATAAATTAACAGTTAATATAAATCTTACCATTAGAAAAATTTAATCTAAAATTTATTATTAATAAATATTTTTATATTATTAATCACATCACAATACTCCAAATCTACTCTTTTCACCCAACTAATCTTTTTTTAGATACAATAAAATAGAAAAAAAACTGTAGAAAGTATTTAAATATGCTAACAAGAAAAAGTAAACACACATACATAAAATTAATATATTATGTTTATATGTTCGAGTAAATTGTCATCTAATCTCTTTGAGTTCAATTTACATTCATTATTATGAAGTTTGCAAAAGGAGAGTCACAATGATTTTTAGTTTTTTTTTTTATGTATTCTAATTTTTTCAATCACTTATGCATTATAAATATTTTAATTAATGTATTTAATTTTAAATAAATATCACTAACACACATTTTTACTATAAGTCACGAAGTTGGTGTCACGTATCTTTCTATCTTGTATTTTTTTTTAACCGAAAATTTTTAAATTAAACTCGTGTGCATATTTTAATATTCGATTTTATTTTCAACAAGATTGATAATAACTAAAAAATTATTTAAATTTTAAAAATACTTTTAGTGAAATTTTATGAGTCTCGTGTCACTCCCATATTATGATAGCTAATAATTAAATCTTCTTCTTCTTCTTCTTCTTCTTACTTTTCTTCTTTTTCTTATTACTTAGTTTTTTTCTCCTTCTTGATCATATTGAATAATATGATTAAAACATCGACAAATAATCATTTTCTTTTACGTAAAGAAAGATGTATAGCAAAAGTTAAATTGCTCTAAACTAAGATTGCAATTCCTTGGTTATTATTACAAATGTAACAAAAGAAGTTTACTTGAGACATACAAATTTATCAACATAGCTTCTTACTTCCTCTTTCATCTCCTTCCTCAATAACACTCTCTTCTTTAGTCTCTCTCTCTCTCTCTCTGTCCATCTTCATCATTATTTCATCTTTTTCTTTTGGGATTAATCATTTTAAGATAGAAATTTAATCCAAAAATAAGTCTGCGGCCAAGAAAATGACCTAAAAAAATTTGCACAAAACTGTCTCTCACCCTTATTTTCCTTCATTTTCTTAGCAATCAAGTACAGAATTAATTCATAAATAATAAAAAAGCGAAACTCTATCGGCGTTCGTGAACTTCCCTCGGTCAAGATGTCTCATTAAGAATGCTACCGCATTAATCTGCAAGAGAAATAACTCATGCATAGAGAGCGAGGATGGTTGGAGTTTCGGTGGAGGATCACGATTTATCAATGCAGGTCTGATAATTTTCCGGTCGTCGTTCTTCTTGTTGTTGATCTGAAAGCCAACATCACCATTTCAAACTTGATTAGAGGAAGAGAATAGCTTGGATCTATAAGTTAATATGAAGAATTAAAACCAAAACATGGATATCATAGATATATTTTATGTTTGGTCGCTTAGAAAGCGTAGGAAACTGAGAAAGTAGAATATGAAATTTTAATGTGCGGAGTACATTGCTTCAAATCATCTTTAGTTCTCTTTCCTTAAATTCCAACAGAGGTTTATATATTTCAAATCAGTTTCTACCTCTCTTTTTCCATCTCTTCTTAAGTTTCTCTCTCTACTAAAGAAGAAGAAGATGAACATGGTCTTTTTCTTTTTAATCAAAACTGGGTAATATATAATTTTTTCAGAACAAACATACTCAACACACACACACACATATATATGTATATATATAGTACGAACGCTTAAAAAAAAAATGAAGATGGAGAGACAGTGAGTCATCGAGGAGAGAGATGGAGAAGAGAAGTCATAAGATGAGAGACAAAAACAATTTTTTTCCCAAATGCAGCCTAATCTCAATCTCATTTTTTTCCGTCCAATTTTAGATAGTGTTGGGATTTTGAAATGAAATTAAAGTTCAGGGATTAAACTCTTAACGAAAAAACATTTAGAACCAAAGAGAAATGTTTACCATACTCCGGAACCAAATTGATTATTTGCTCTTTTAAGTTATTAACAGAGAAAAGAAAAGGGGACTAAATTTCAACAAACAAGAAAACTAAGAACCACCAACAGAGTAAAAATAGTAACTCCAACATTGCAGCATAAACAAACATGAAGATAACAGAATTACTTAAAAAGACTTCGACCACCATTTTAAGTTATCACCATAGGCAAGAACAAAGATAAGAGAAAAGAACAAACAAATTAGTAAGTGATTAAACCTATAAACCTTTAAATTAAGAAAATGATACCTCATCAAAGAGAATTCTGTAAGCATTTAAATCATGTGAAGAGGGCTAAATCAAATCACATTGCCCGCTAAATGGTTTAATTTTCCACTTTGAACTGGAAAAAAGGCAATAATAACTTGCCTGGGCATGGCATCAACACCAAGTGCAGTATTAAAAGCAAAATTCCTTGCCCACTCGAGAGTTGAGAGGTTGGTTCAGCAATTGAAAGTACTGAACTAAGAATATCTCAAGATTACTGATCGAGTCCCTTACAAAAAGAGAAGAAAGTTCCTTATATGAGTACCTTAAAGAAGAACAATCACTAATGGCTTCTTTTGTCAAGAGAAATGCTAAGTTAGAAACTTACAGAACAAGGGACAATAAGAAACACTTTTCTCTGAGTCCATTTCCAATATAACAAGCAGCTATAATTGCTTGTATCTGGATAAAGGTAGGCACTAAGAAACCCTCCTTAAATCACTTGATTCAAGCAGCACTATTCTCTCCCTGCAATACCAAAAATAACTTGCAAAACATTTATAAGAAACACCTCAAAGAAAACATATTTCTATTTCGAAAAGAAGGAAAGCCTATAATGAAAGCACATTTTGCAAATTATTACATCATCTGACAACATCCAAGCTATACGAACAACACAAAATCATATGGAAGTGCACTAGTTGCTCCGCAAATCCTCTCCCTCATCCACCAACTTCTGCTTCTCCATTTTAACCGATTTGTCCTCTTCGACGCTCTGCGATCCTGTCATCCTCGCCAATAACACAAAAGAAGCGCCACCAAGAACGTTGTTCAAGCATCTCAGAACCACCACGGACGTCTTGAATGCCATCTGAGACAGCCAATTGGCCAACATGAACTCAACGCCGTTCAACGTTTGGTACCTGAAATTGCTGCTGACGCCCATGTGAATGGCCCATGTCACAGCATTCAGCAGTGTGGGAGGTGGCTTGTTTGGGGTCTCAAAATTGTGGTCCATCTTCTTCCTCATTTTTATCAAGCCATTGGAGAGGACAGTCCCTACTAGTCCAGCGGCAAATCCAACAGCCGCAAACACAGTACCTTTGTATACAAAAGTTCCCAGCCGGTTGAGAATGGTGTAAGAACCCGGTTCGAACATGTGACTGGTGGGGCAATTGGCGAAGATCGCAGGCAAGCTTGGAGAAGTTGCAGATATGGTGGGTGCTAACAGGTACATGAGAGTAAAGTTCAATATGGAACCAACAACGAGAGTGGAGAATACAAAATCAAGCTCGTTGAGACCAAAATTAGGACGAGAAGCCATATCGCCGAGAACGCAAGCACTAACACCCACCAATTCCTCCATGAGAACTTTGAATGGGAATTGGGGATCCGCTGCAACCCTAGATCTCCATCCGTTGAGGAAAAGAGCCAACGGCCCCCAAGAAGACAACGACGAAGAAGAAGAATCATCAGAGTAACCATCCCCTTTTGAACCTCCATCGTTTCCGTCATTGCCACCGGTGCCGCGACCGCCAACCCCATTATTCCCATCTCCCCCGATACAGGAAAGTTGAAGCCTTGAAGAGGCGAGATTGGAATGGAGACGGCAGAGAGAGCGATTATGACGAAATAAAATCGAAATCGCTGGATTGGGAAAATGGCGATTTTCACTGGCGTCAGGGAACCTGCTGGTTGTAAGTTGATAATGGAGCCGAGCCATAGTCGCCATTAACCTTCACTTGGCAGGAAGATTCTACGTCTCCTTTGGACAAAGTAAAAACCCAGAATTATATTTGACAAAGAAACAATTAATTTAAGATTCAATAATCAAACCAGCCAAGATTGATTAATGCGCATTAGGACTAACATTTTCTTCAGAAAAAATTAATAACAAGTAAATAAAAGAGAAACAATGAGTACCTAAAATCGTAAGAGCAATGAAATGAGAAAAGCCAAGGAGAGGAAATGATTATGTTTGAAGAGACGAGGTCGTTAAAATGCCTGAAAAAAAAAACCTAATTATATAATGCCATAACCAAGATTCCTTGAGAAGTTGGAGAAAATCTTGCATATTTGGAAGGGAAGTCATTATAACTTTCTAAATTTAGTTCAGTTGGTAAACCAGAAGTTGGCAATTCTTAGTTCACTGGTTTGAATTCGGCATGTCAGAGTTTTGCTTTTCTTAGTAATCCTAAAAAATATTTGATAGACTATACATTGATTGAAATATATACATATATATATATATAAACTATATTTAGTGGAATGCAGAGTAAAAATACAACACTTACATTTATAGTGATTTATAAAAAAAAAAAAAAAAGATGTTAATAGCCTGTCAAGAAAAAATATAACACTTGAGATTTAATGGCTTGCAAAATAAAAATGCAACATTTTACATTTAGTGACATGCGAAGGAAGTCAATAACTCTGTAGTTAATGACTAGTGAATGAGATATTCAACACTCAGATATCTAATGGCTTATGAAGAAAAACAGAACATCCAATACTTAATTACTTGTAAAGGAAAGACACAACATTTACATTCAATGATGTTTGATGGAAAGTACATTTAGTGAGATGCAAAAGGAAAGAATAACACTTGACAGTTACTTACCATGGAGGAAAAATACAAAATTTGACTTTTAATGACTCACAAATGAAAGACCCAACATGCATATTTAGTAAATTGCAAAGAAAAAAATATAACACTCTATATTCAATAAATTATGAAGGAAACACAATAACTTACATTTAACTACTTTATTATTTTTTTAAAAAAAATAATAACATAACACTTTACACTTAGGAATCTGTTATACAATCTTTTATATTTTTAATGACTAGTGAGCAAAAAACACAATAATTTTTGTATTTATCGTAGAGGTTCGGAATTCAAAAAAAAATCATGAATTTAATGCAAAAACGATTATTAAAATTATGGTTTACATTTTTTACACAATAATTTTGAATGACCAATAAAATTACTGGAATATCATTTCTAAAAGATAAACAGAAATTAAAGAAATAAAACGAAAAGCGAACAACTAAATATCCTAAGACAACCTTCACTAGCATTTGAAGGGAGACCGTATAGTAAACTACTCACAATACTCTTGCATATTAAGATTTGGATGTTGATTCTCTTGATTTGAAATAGTTAACGAAATGGTGAACTACACTAATTCAGTAAGAATATCACATTAATAATAGATACAGAAAACTGAAAATTGGTAAAAATTATAAAATAACTAATGAAGCACTTAATTTGAGTAAATTCATTTAATATAAAGAAGATCGTTTATTTCGTACTTAACGTAACGAGTTTTCAAAATAATTTATGAGATCCCTATTCATACATTTTTATTTCACACATAAAGACAGAACGATACTTTCATTTCTACTACTACTAGTACCCC